AGCTAACGGATGAAACACTACCACAAAGGGAGGACCTCGTCCCTCTAGTTGTCTCTCACTGTAATACACAAGGCAGACAAATCATATGAACAACTGCAGGAAGAGAAGCCTGCACAGCATTTCTCCCATTGGCAATACTTACAACTCCATAGTTATATCCATTCCTCTATTAGGCATAGACATTTCTTTAGAGCACTGACTTATTTTGAAACCATGTGCCTTAAGGGCACAAACAGAGAAGACAACCTCCCTGATGTATAATTGACTACAATCCTCTACATCAGATGCAACCACTAGTCATCGTAAGGTGTGGGAATCGGCCTTTAAGATGACTTTCACTAATGAGCAATGCCTTAATGCATGCATCTTAGCCCATAAATGCTCTATTGGAACTAATGTAGACATCATACAAGCTTTTGACTAGATTGCATACATGGTACCCAACTGTCTTTGACCTATGTTGGTGTTGCAGCCAAAACAAGGGTACTATGTTGCATATTTGGTGGGAATGCCCCCTTTTGGGGAACTTCTGGAAAGCAGTTTTTGACTTGGTATACCATATCAAGGAGACCAAAACGGAAACTCTCCCCCGAATGCTGTTTATTACAGTGGGGCAAAAAAGTATTTAGTCAGCCACCAATTGTGCAAGTTCTCCCACTTACAAAGATGAGAGAGGCCTGTAATTGGCATCATAGGTAGACCTCAACTATGAGAGACAAAATGAGAAAACAAATCCAGACAATCACATTGGCTGATTTGGAAAGAATTTATTTGCAAATTATGGTGGAAAATAAGTATTTGGTCACCTACAAACAAGCAAGATTTCTGGCTCTCACAGACCTGTACCTTCTTCTTTAAGAGGCTCCTCTGTCTTGGACTCATTACCTGTATCAATGGCACCTGTTTGAACTTGTTATCAGTATAAAAGACACCTGTCCACAACCTCAAACAGTCTCACTCCAAACTCCACTATGGTAAAGACCACAGAGCAGTCGAAGGACACCAGAAACAAAATTGTAGACCTGCACCAGGCTGTGAAGACTGAATCTGCAATAGGCAAGCAGCTTGGGGTGAACAAATCAACTGTGGGAGCAATAATTAGAAAATGGAAGACATACAAGACCACTGATAATCTCCCTCGATCTGGGGTTCCACGCAAGATCTCACCCCGTGGGGTCAAAATGATCACAAGACCCGTGAGCAAAAATCCCAGGACCACATGGGGGGACCTAGTGAATGACCTGCAGAGAGCTGGGACCAACGTAACAAAGGCTACCATCAGTAACACACGACGCCACCAGGGACTCAGATCCTGCAGTGCCAGACGTGTCCCCCTGCTTAAGCCAGTACATGTCCGGGCCCATCTGAAGTTTGCTAGAGAGCATTTGGATGATCCAGAAGAGGATTGGGAGAATGTCATATGGTCAGATGAAACCAAAATAATACTGTTTGGTAGAAACCCAACTCGTCGTGTTTGGAGGAGAGAGAATGCTGAATTGCATCAAAAGAACACCATACATACTGTGAAGCATGGGGGTGGCAACATCATGCTTTGGGGCTGTTTCTCCGCAAAGGGACCAGGACGACTGATCCATGTACAGGACAGAATGAATGGGGCCATGTATCGTGAGATTTTGAGTGCAAACCTCCTTCCCTCAGCAAGGGCATTGAAGATGAAACGTGGCTGGGTCTTCCAACATGACAATGATCCCAAACATACCGCCCGGGCAACGAAGGAGTGGCTTCGTAAGAAGCATTTCAAGGTCCTGGAGTGGCCTAGCCAGTCTCCAGATCTCAACCTCATAAAAAACCTTTGGAGGGAGTTAAAAGTCTGTGTTGCCCAGCGACAGCCCCAAAACATCACTGCTCTAGAGGAGATCTGCATGGAGGAATGGGCCAACATACCTTCAACAGTGTGTGCCAACCTTGTGAAGACTTACAGGAAACGTTTGACCTCTGTCATTGCCAACAAAGAATATATAACAAAGTATTGAGATGAACTTTTGATATTAACCAAATACTTATTTTCCACCATAATTTGCAAATAAATTTTTTCCAAATCAGCCAATGTGATTGTCTGGATTTTTTTTCTCATTTTGTCTCTCATAGTTGAGGTCTACCTATGATGCCAACTACAGGCCTCTCTCATCTTTTTAAGTGGGAGAACTTGCACAATTTGTGGCTGACTAAATACTTTTTTGCCCCACTGTACATATTTCTAACTATTCCTTGAGTAAAATACAAGATATCATTAGTGTGACTTCTGCTGAGTGCAGCTGCTCATTCAAAATCCGTCATACCCAGATATTGGAGATCTACATATATTCCTAGTTTTGGATTGGCTGCGTTCAGTAGGTTATATCAGTGAGATGGAAAAAACAGTAGCAATTGCTACAGATTGTACAAGAAAATATCATAAATTATGGAGACCATGGTTTCTATTTAAATATTCAAATACTTATGCCCAATTAAGTGCAGGCTGAATGTCATAGGAATGCATAAAAGGCTAGTTTCTCTGAAGGATACTACAGTTGTGTTTATAATATTCAGACTGTTGTATACCTAACCGGATGACAATTCATTCTATTCCTTTTTATTTTTTTTGTTTCTATATAATTTCTAATTCCTTCATATGAAGTACAGGATTAACATGGCTTGTTTGTAACCTGGTTATAGGCTGTCTTATGCTTAAAGTGGCATTGGACTTTGCTTTGATAAGCATTTGTTAGGAATATGTTTTCTTGATTGTCAAAAATGTGCTTTTGGTCAATATGTTAAACCTATATTTTTAGATTTCTACTCAAAAAAGAACGATTTTTTTTTTTTGTCTAGTGAGGGACACAGGAAGTCTTTAAAATGGTAGTAAGCCTGGGGAAAAAAAAAAATATTTTCTCCTGCAAGGCGAAGTTATAATGTGCTAATATGTATCGCATACTAGCAGATTTTGTGAAACTTACCTTGAAACGAAGCCCTGCAGCAGCGCAATGTCATCACTGACAAGGCTGCCGTCTTCGCCTGGTCTTCCTTCTGGGTTTGCGGGCTCTGGTTCTTTGAATGGATGAATTGGGACGATGTCACTCCTACACATGCATGCCATTCCTCCAGACCTTCCGAGCACGTCACAAGCAAATATGTCCTAAACCGTGCACATGTAGGAGATATTTACAGTACCTACAGGTAAGCCTTATTATAGGCTTACCTGTAGGTAAAAAGATAGTCAAAATCATTTACTACCACTTTAACCTTCAGGAGGTTCAAACTGAGTGGAAGGGCCAAAACAGCAAACATACACGAATAGGCCTAAGAAAAACAACACAGAACCGGACAGTCTGCAGCTCAAAAAGCTGTCTAAAGGACCTTACACTCAATGCTGGCATCAGAGGAGGCCACAATGTCCACCTGGTAGAGAACATGTGAACAGAAGATCGTGGGGCAGCCTTACAAATATAAAAGATAGTTTATTCCCGAAAGTCCCAAGAACCACTCACCCTCCACAGGAAGAATACTTGAGACACTAAGCTTGGATACTGGTCTGACCTGGCTACCTAGAGATGGTGGAAAGAGAGTCCAGTACACCACTCATGTGGGCCAACCAGGATTACAAACAGGGTATTGGTCTTTCAGAAAGAAATAGTGGCTAAGGGATGGAGGCAAATTTGTCTTTTGGTCATTTATTCACTAGACTACAATGTCTCTGTTGAAATGAAAGGCAGAAACTCTCTTAGGAAAGAAGTTCTGGGCCTCGACACAACCTTGTGCCTATGCAGAACAAAAAACAACTCCTTGCAGGGTAAATCCACCAACTCAGACACTGACCTCACAGAGACGGGAGCTACAAGAAACACTGCCTTGTTCATGAGAGCAGAGAGGATGTCACTAACAGGTTCAAAAGCCAATTTCTGAAGCGCAAAGAGAGAATCCGGTTTAGATTCCATGGAATTACAAGGGAACAGACAGGGGGAGCTACATGGGGACACGCTGTACAAAGGTTTTAATCAAAGAGTGAGAGGTCAACGGTCTCTGAAACAGAATAGAAAGGGCAGGAACCTCACCTTTGACAGTGCTCCAGATTTCCTCAGAGACTTCATCCCATTGAAAAACTCCTTGGGTGTAAGGCCCAAGACTCACACTAAGTAAAGTATGCCTTTCATGTCTAATAATAGAGATTTAAGAGTAGAATTCCTAACTTTTAGCAACATGGGATGAACAGACTCAAATTTGCCCGTCCCTAAGAACCTGAGCTTCAACAGTGACTTTGTCACCATAAGGCAGCAGTCAGAGTGAATGTCCAGGAGAATCATGGTGTGGATGCAGCTGAGGAAATTTTGTGAAGGCTGAGAAAATCCCAGCTCTAAAAAAATGGCATGCACATATGGAGTAATTCAACCTGAAGGGAGGCTGCACAGACTCAGCAGGGGTGCCCAGGCAGTAAACTGGGCACTATTTTCAATAGCAATGCATCACTTCCCACCACTGGCTCATGAGCAAAAGTGTTGCAGCTGGTACTTCAGAGTGAATCCCCTAGGGGCATTCAAACACACATCAAGCTCCTACAAATACATGGGCAAAGCACTGAGTTACCTCAATTCTTGACACTTTCCATTTCTATTTTTTTTTTATTGCATACAGTTCTATAAATTACAATAGATAACTGCAAGGTAAATATTCACTGGCCATTCCAATTTCAAGATAGCAATGCAGTATGTTATCCCCTTTGAACAATTCACCAGAGATGTCCTCTACAAACTGTGACATGTATGGGGATATGGGATATTTCCATTTGACTGTCATATTATTAACATCTGAATACAAGACTTTATGGCTGAAAAGTAAGTAATATTTGCTCCAATTGCAACTGAGTAGTATTTTATTGCTTAAACCTTCAGGTCTGAAATTACATGGATGTAATCCACAACAAGAATGACAGCTATTGGTTTGAATGTAAAAATATATATATAAATAGTAATACAGTTAGTTCTATTTTGTACTCAAATACCTACAGCATTACCAGTCATCTTGGCAATCTCTTTCAGCTTGTTAAAGACACTTGTAACAGTAAGTTTTGGTGGTGTGAACATGGTGCGCTGGTTACTGCGGCTGCTTTCTGCAACAAGCCCGAGATCCCCCTTCTCTTGTGCCTCAGCTTTAATTTTGTCTAACTGACGTCCTGCCAATAAACAGATAAGACAAGTATGGAAATCACCATAATTAATAATAAAAGTAACCACAGCGAACCTGACAGGATATAAAATATGGGAACTACTAATAATGACTTGTTTTTAAAAGTGAATACTCTATGGGAGGACATTGCTAACTCTGTATTCAGTCATGGAACAAGAACAGATATGTTGGAATCCAATGTCCCAACTAGCTCACATGCTGCTTAGTTGTTCAGCGTGTTATTTATTCACTAGCTAGTGTAAAGCTCCTTTAAAAGCTTCAAATTAAGTTCCAGAAAAACCAGCCCATGAAAGGTAAAATGTAGACAGAAGCTCTGCAGTATGGTTTATAATGCTGCACTCGTATGGAGAATCTAGTGGTGGTAGATTTAAATTGTCATAGGTTTAGTAATCTGTAGTTTATGCTGAGCTCAGCAAATAAGATATTAAATCACGTAAAGCCCAACTCCATCTTTCCGTTCACTTTAAATAGTTTGTTTGGGCAAAGGAATCTTCTTTAGTAATCATGATGGCTGCTGTCAGCACTGTATAAACTGTATGTAGCATCAGCTAAACAGTATACAGTGCTGTGTCCTGGCAACAGTAAAGGAACTTCCCTTCTGCTGCTGGAAGAAAATCAACTTGGGCTGATGATCAACCATTCACAGGAACCTAGTGATTTTATCAATGAATACAAGGCTTCCTCCTCTGAGGTGGAGAAGCCAGCAGAGGACTTCACTTCCTGTGAATGACTAAGGCTCAGTTCACACTGTGTCAGCAGGCATCAGGGAAGTGTTTTTAACGCTTCTCAAATGTCTATGAAAATTCTGCACATGGCAGCACACAGTGCTGTTCACACTGAAGTGTTAGCGTTGTGGCAAAACTGACGCCTCGTGTAGAGTCAGGAGGAGTTGAAGCCTCCCATTCAAGCCTATGGTGCTGCTCCGCAAGCGCCTGGCATTTCCTCCTTAAGGTAAAACTTTGGCTTCAGATACCTAGCCAAGATGGCCAACTTATGGTTCCGCTTAGCGTAATTATGTCATCCGGCAACTCCCTTGATGCTTTTCGAAATCCAACATGACTGCTTCAGAAGAAGCTATAGCTACCTGACCCCTGTCTATGACAGATTGTTTTATGTTTCATGAATGCTAAAGTCTTGCGACTCTTTTTTTTTCATAAAAAGTCTAAGAATGGTTAAAAAAAAGAGAGAAGAAAAAGTTATCAATTTACTTTGGGGCCTGGTGCTCGCTCTCTCTCTCTTTACCCTGCTGCCCCAGGCGTTTGGTCCATGGATGCTATTACCATAAGTACAGCCTTGGCAGTGGTGTTTACATGAAGGAAGTTTCAACTCAGTAAAAGCAGCACCCTGATGTATTTAAAAAAAATCTAGACTTTTTCTTTGGTGCATCCTACAGGTGTGTCAATTCAAATTAAAGTTTAAAGTGATACTAAAGGTTCACTTTAAAAAAAAGAATTTATATACAGTCAGGTCCATAAATATTGGGACATCGACACAATTCTAACATTTTTGGCTCTATACACCACCACAATGGATATGAAATGAAACGAACAAGATGTGCTTTAACTGCAGACTGTCAGCTTTCATTTGAGGGTATTTACATCCAAATCAGGTGAACGGTGTAGGAATTACAACAGTTTGCATATGTGCCTCCCACTTGTTAAGGAACCAAAAGTAATGGGACAATTGGCTTCTCAGCTGTTCCATGGGCAGGTGTGTGTTATTCCCTCAGGTGCGGTTGAGAGGCAGTTGTGGAGCGTTAATACCATTTAACTTCATTATAAGCGTTTGTGATGCAGTTTTAATGCTTGGCAAAAGCCTATCAACCGCTTCAAAACCATGCATAGGGCGTTTGGGGAGCGTTAAAAACACTTCCCACACGCCTGTCTAATGCTATATGGGCGTTTGGCAAGAATTAGAAATAAAGTTAAGTGGGAACGAGTCCTTAGAAGCACTCAGCTCTGCTCAATTTTGTTCTGGCGCAGACAGGAATCCCGGTACCGCTTCCAGACCACACAACTGTATACCGTATGTAGCATCATTATATACAGTCTTCACAATAGCTGCAGGAATTAGTAAAGGCATTCGTGTGTTTGAGCCACCCTGGATCAAACAAACCATTTAAATTGAAAAGAAAAAAGGAGCTAGATTTTAAATCTCTTCTGCCTGGTTGTATAATTATAGTTATATCTATTCCCAACTCCCTAATGTATTTATTTAGTACTGCATAATGGAAGACAGCACTAAGACATTTAAGAGTTTTATACAGCGTTTCAATATACATAGAGAATCTACAGTCTTGCCAATGAGGCCAGATTTAGGTGAAAAAAATAAAACAAAAAAAAATGATGGTCTATTAAAGCATAACTTTACCCATTACAACTTGATAAAAAATAATGTTCTTTAGCAAGAAACATACAGAGGTTAGGCAAAAAAATGGAAACACTACATGACTTGCAGGTGTAAAAGTGACATGTTTTGCGTTGAAAACGGAAGTGTTGTAACATTCATTTGTTTTCACTGTGTGATGAGACACCTAACTAACAGGTGGGAAGCCTCACTTTCGTCATTCACTGCATGCGCTGCTAGTAATACCAAGTCATGTCAGAGCTTACTGAGCTTCATAGAGGACAAATTGTTGGTGCTCGCATAGCTAGTACTGAGGTGACTGAGCTCTGCAGTCACTTTTGCAGTTGTTTTCCTTTTCCAGGTCACAACCTGCGCAATGTCCTTTAGTCTCTTTTGGTCAGCTGACCGTGTCGACCGCGCTTATGCTTATCAGACGACGTTTTCAAAGAAACTGTATTTGCTGTCATAACCTTTGATACTGGACCTCGCGACATGGCAAATAAATTGGCAACTTCAGTCACAGAGGAACCAGCTAAGCGGTGCCCTCTTTGAAGCTCAGTAAGCTGACATGACTCCATATTAATAGCAGCACAAAAGCTTGTGATGTCCTGTGCACTCTGCTGCACTTTCATCAATTAGCATTGTTTCCAGTTCTCTCTACCCAACCCCTATGTAGATGAGGAGAGGGAGGTGTTCTGTGGCCCTAGCACTGTTAGTCCTAGTGTGACAATGCTATTCCTCCATAGATACAGTCACCCTAGGACAGAAAGTATGGAACTAGCAAAATCACCATGTGAAAAAGAAAAACAGCCTGAACAATGAAAACTAATACAGCCTCCACATGTAAAAAGCAATACGCTGCAATACTGTATATTGTTGTTCTTGGGTTTACATATACTTTAAAAAAAAATATGAACTCACTGAATATATGTAGTACTATCACTAAAATTATACTCCTTTATGTTTAAACAACATTATGTGTTCTTATGTTACAGCGTAACCAATAAAAAAAGTAAATGTGCTGTATACTTAGAAATAAAATTAAGATTATTTAAAATTCAGTTGTTAAAAGAAAAAAAGGTTTATTGAAATATATTCATACCAGTAGCTTGTGCAACAGCTTTCATCAATATAGTTTCTCCAATACCAAGTTCAAGCCCTTCATAAGCAGGACCCAAGCGATTCAAACACAGGTAGATACAAGGCAAAAGATCCCCCGGAGACAGACAGATAACAGAACGCAGCAAATTACTAAGCGTCTCTATGTTCTTCAAGCTAAAATAGAAGATAAGTGGAATATTAAAACACCTGAAAAAAATACATTTTAAAAACATGCATACTAGTAGCACTACTAGCTGTGAAAACATACTGTAACTTATGTAAGAAGATAAAAGCTAAGCGAGCGCTGCAGAGCACAAAGCAGCTGAAGCATCAAGGCAACCAAAAAACCTCTAAATAAATAAATGTATAAAAAAATGGGTGCAGCGCTAAAAATCAATGTGCAAGGATCCTACCATGCTCAGATGAAGGCAAAGGCCCCTTTAACTTCATTTCCCACAACTCCCTGGGTTTCTGGGCACACTCATGAAATCTAGGTTTCAATGCTCACCTTTCTTAGCAACACAGAGAGACCATACAGATTCACATTGCACATGGGCAGAGACAAACAGCTATTTCTTCAGAGTATCAAAAGTTCTTACCTCAGTTGGCGGTATTTCTTATATTCGTGGTGAGTTCCATGTTCTGTGGCCATTTAGGAAAAATTGAATTGGATTCCATTACGCTTGCTACAGCTGCTCCCTGTGAGTCTCACCACTCACAGAGCCCATCTCAGAGGAAACCTGACATTACTGGTACCATTTGGAGGACCCTGAAGGGAGCAGGAATCTGGCTATCTCCAGAGTGGATGTTTTGGCTGACCTAATGAGACAGTATATCTCAAATGCGTGATTAATTTGCGCATCTGGTGAGTGCGCAATTTACCTAACACCATATACCACTCCGGATAAAGAATTTGACTACTTCTTGGAGATCCTATGATCCTCACGTTCAATAATATTGGACATTCACTTATCACTTCAACCACTGTCTGTGGTTCTTATTTGTGCACTTTATTTACTGTGTTTACATATGTCCTAACACTTATGTCACTTTATTTGTTATTATCGGCACCTTATATGCAAAAGTCATTGTCCATATTTAGGATCCTTGGACATTGATTATTAGCGCTGCACCCATTTTTTATACATTTATACTGTAGCATATCAAGCTTGGAATTTTCAGCCCCACCATCATTAAACTACTACTACTGCTGGAATGGGGGAGGGATTCAGATTTCAAACAAAACAGCCATTGGCACAAGGGACTCTGCATTGATAGTAAGTACTGTCCCTTTTGCAGATTTAAAAAAAAAAGAATGTTTGAATAAACAGGCGTTATTGCGATGTTAAGCTCAACAGGAAAGCCAAAACGACTCTTAGGCTAGGTTCACATAGATGCAGTGCGATTTTCCTTCCGGTTTCAGTAGAGTTGTTGTTCAGTAATTCAGGAGCGATTTGGCAGTATTCTCTGTCTTAAGATAAAACAAATGTTTTATCTTAAGACAGATAAGCATTTTCCATCTGTCTATGTAGCTACAAATTGCAAAGGACCCTTTTTAACTATTTCCGGACCAGCGCTGTAAGCAAACACTGTTGGAATTTTAGTGGTTATACAGAAGTGATGCTTGCAGCTGAAGGCATCACCCCAATACCGTTTTTTAGAACAGGCAGTTGGCTCTCTTGTACAAGCAATCAGAGTGGCTAACTAGCTGCTCGATTGCTTGTACAAGCAGCGGGATGGGACGTCCCCCCCCTTCTGTGCCTTCCGTGGCTCTCTCTCAAGATTTCCCGTCTCACCGGGAGTCACAAGTGACCAGTAGGCACGTCCGCCGGCTGCCTGGACAGCCAAACATAGCCGGATTCGGCTTTGATCGGCTCTCTCTTATAGTAAAAAAGAAGCGATGACCAGACATCATTTCTGGTTTGCTCGGAAACTTTCGGCGCCATTTTTAAAAATTTTAAAACATTCAACATTGGTGTTTTGAATGCTTTCAAGTGCAGAGGAGGGATTTGGGGTACTTTAGACCCCAGGCCCCTCCATAAAAAGTACCTGTCACAAGTCTATTGCTGTCACAAGGGATGCTTACATTTCTTGACAGCAATAAGAGTGATTAAAAACAAATTAAAGCGACAGTGTAAAAAAAAAAAAAAAAAGACAAAAATTTAAATTAACGTGCCCCAGTCCCCCCGTGCTCATATACAAAGGTGACCGCATGCGTCGGTCCCACACGCACGCAACCAGCGATCATCACATACATGTGAGGAATCGCCGCAAACATCAGATCATGGGCAGTAATTCTAGCACTAGACCTCCTCTGTAAATCTAACGTGGTAACCTGTAAAGGCTTTTAAAGCATCGCTTATGAATAGTAAAATTTACATAGTTTTGTCGTTGTTGCACGGGTGTGCGCAATTTTAACGCATGACATATTTAGTATATATTTACTTGGCTTAACACCCTCTTTTATAATTTACAAAAATAGGGTTATGTATCTTTTATTTTTTTATATTTCAAAAAAAGTGAATTTTTTCCCAAAAATTGCGTTTGAAAAACTACTGCGCAAACGCAGTATGACATAAAAAAAGCAAAAAACACCAATTTATTATCCAGGACCTTTGCATTATAAAAAAAAATATATTGTTTGGGGGTTCTAAGGCATTTTCTAGCAAGAAATACTGGTTTTAAAATGTAAACAGAGTGCCAGAAATGGCTTGGGGCTGAAGTAGTTAAAAGCACATTGGAATCACACTGCATATATGTGAATGGCCTGTATAGAAATTCAAGTTATTTCACTTGTCATGTGATTCCATGCATTCTGGAACACACTGGAAATCGCATGTGTGTGTGAACAAGGGCTTAACATGCCAATTTGCATGCCAATGCAGCCATTGTTAACACCAACTCTAACTCTAGACTGTTTAGAGATGCAGTTTGCAATGAAGGTCCATGCTGCTTATGCATGTTTTGACTGTATGCATAGTATGAATTTCCCATGTTTATGTCAAACTGAAATGCTGTTGGGCTTGCAGGCTTGCGGCATTTGAGCTGTTAAAATACATGTAACAGCAAGACCTGTTGCAACCTGTAGTTACCAAGCTGGAGTAGGAGGAATTCACTTAACTAGTAATTAAAAAAGATGTAAAAATAAGCATCTATATCTCCAGTTATGGTCGGATTTTACATAATAAATCATTAGAAGTCTTCTATAAATGCATTACCGTGCAGATTCATCTTCGATCATTTCAAACGTGCGTGCAACTGCCAAGTATGGAACCCTAAAAAAAGATAAAGGAACAAAAGTCACACATTACAGATGTTCGAGAATATCTGAAAATAACTTAACATACCCAAACCTATTATAGTCCGTCAACACGCACGCAAGCCAGTATTACAGGTAGAGCAGTAAATGAGCTTTTCTTCAATTTCTTTGTTTGTCAAAATAAAGCCCTTCCTTGTGCAACTAAGTTCCACCTCCCCCACATAAGATTAAAATGTCATATGCCAGAACCACTGCTGTCCATAGAGATGCTGTTATTTCAAAACTGAATGAAAGGAATGGGGTTTAGCGCAGGGAAGGGCAGGTTGAATCAGATTAGAGAAACTGAGGCCCAATACACAGCCAGGGCCTAGCATCCATGCACCTTCTACACATAAGAAACATTAAGCAAGATACAGTACATTATGAATAAAGCAAAAAATGATGTAGCGCTTAACAAGGAATGGATAAATAATCTGATAACATTAATAAATCATACTAAGCACAGGGTCAGTACAACAAAACAACACACTCCTTAGCATGTGAAAGGAGAAATTAGTGCGTAATGGAGCTAGATATGTGAGATCTTAAACACATGTGAAACCACTGCACACAGTGCACATATAAAAAAGTCCAGTGATCCGTATCACATTCCTTCCGCTCATGCAAAATCAATGGACTGTGTATAATCCCACACACCCCGAAGTGCAATCCAAAACCGGCTGAAATGGCCTCTCACCTCCTATCTGCGACCCTGCAGGGCCACAGAGCATATAATATCACCAATGGATCAAGATAACCTTCCTCTTGAGTAGATGACTTGAAGATATATCCCCAGTACACTGATTCCACCTCTCCTATAATATCCTTAATGGTCAGATGAGCAGGATGGATCCCAACTCAGATCCCAATAGGATAAAAGAAGAAGACATCCTCCACAGTGTAAAAAAGCTTTAATACTGCTTAAAAACTAAGTCAAACGCACACTTACACCAGCAAGATGAAATACAGCTTGTTCCCATACCATGGGTGTAAACATGTGGCTGAAGGGTGTTCCAAGATGGCGCCGCGCCGGAAGTGCGTCACCACGTATTGCCGTCGACGCGTTTTCGTCACGTGACTTCCTCAGGACTAGGCCATTTCAGACGGTTTTGGATTGCACTTCGGGGTGTGTGGGATTATACACAGTCCATTGATTTTGCATGAGCGGAAAAATGTGATACGGATCACTGGACTTTTTTATATGTGCACTGTGTGCAGGGGTTTCACGTGTTTAAGATCTCACATATCTAGCTCCATTACGCACTAATTTCTCCTTTCACATGCTAAGGGAGTGTGTTGTTTTGTTGTACTGACCCTGTGCTTAGTATGATTTATTAATGTTATCAGATTATTTATCCATTCCTTGTTAAGCTCTACATCATTTTTTGCTTTATTTGTACACTTTATTAGATCTATTGGTACAGGATCAGATGTTAGCAGCTACAGGTGCATATTCACTGATTATTTAACATAAGAGCACAAGTAGACTTTGTACATCATTTACAGTACATTATGAGTCTCTTTAAGTGGTATAGTATTCACTGTACCCACATGGAAGAAAAATACATTTGAAACATATTTTAAAAATATTCTTCGCAAATAGATCGCCATATATTTGAAATGCAACAATTTGAGCCATATTCAATATATTTAAAACAAAAATAAATTTATTATATATATATATATATATATATATATATATATATATATATATATATACACACACACACACACACACACACACACACACACACACACACACACACACACACATATATACACGTACACTCCATATTGAAATGTATATTTATTACAAAATATATGAAAATTATTTTTAGAAAAACATTTCAAATAAACTGCATCTCTTTAAAAATTCAAATATACATTTTTGGAATACATTTACGAATATATGTAAAAAGATATGTTAAAATGACTTTATGTAAAAAAAAAAAAAACTGAATATATTTAAAAAACATATTTTTAAAATATATTCAGATTTTTTTAACATAAAGTCATTTTAACACATCTTTTTACATATATTCGTAAATGCATTCCAAAAATGTAGATTTGTATTTTTTAAGACATACAGTATATTTGAAATGTATTTTTAAAAATATTTTTCATATATTTTGTAATAAAAACACATTTCAACATGCAAAATATATATATATATATATACCGTATATGTGTATATATATATATATATATATATATATATATATATAAAAATATATTTTGAAATGTATTGAATGTGGCCAAAATTGTAGCATTTAAGATAAATTTGGGAAGAATATTTTTAAAATATATTTCAAATATATTTTTCTTCCATATGGGTAAGGCCACACCCAATTGTCTGTGGCTACATTTTTAACAGATTTGCTTTAAAGTTGTTGTTAAGCCTTAATGCCTTGAACGAGCCACAACATCCCTAAGCAATCCCCGCTAGGAGCGCCAAGACTCATCATGGTACACGGAAGTGTCAGTGAGCAGCCACATTCAGCTACACAAACCAAGCATTGATGGTCCAAGAGAGGAGGGGTCTTGAATGGATTGATTAGTTAGCTGTTTGCAATCAACCATTTATAAAACTAAGAAGTGGATAAACACAGAAGTGGAAATCTGGGAGAGATTATTTTTGTATTTTTTATTATTACTTATTTCAGGTATTTAAAGTTGTGTTCAAAATAACAGCAGTGTGTTGAAAAAAGTTAATAAAGCTCAAAATCCTTCCAATAGCTTTTATTTCCATACACACAAATGCATTGGGAACACTACACATTCTATTCCAAATCAAAACATGAAGAAAAATGTATCAAATTTATGTTGTTCCTCTAAAAGAACTGAAGAAAAGTGAATATTAGACTGTTCAAAAAAATAGCAGTGTTTGTATTCTTCTTTACAAACTCAAACATTCACTATATAAACTGAAAAATGTTTGAAGATTTTGCTTTCCTTTGAATCATTTAATGAATATTTAGTTGTAGTCGCACTGTTTCTGAGAACTGCTGTACATCTGTGTTGCATGGAGTCAACCAACTTCTGGCACCTGTGAACAGGTATTCCAACCCAGGATGATTGGACTACATTCCACAGTTCTTCTCTATTTCTTGGCTTTGCCTCAGAAACTGCATTTTTGATGTCACCCCAGAAGTTTTCTATTGGATTAAGATCCGGGGATTGGGCTGGCCACTCCATAACGTCAATCTTGTTGGTCTGGAACCAAGATGTTGCACGTTTACTGGTGTGTTTGCTGTCGTTGTCTTGTTGGAACACCCATTTCAAGGGCATTTCCTCTTCAGCATAAGGCAGCATGACCTCTTCAAGTATTCTGATGTATTCAAACTGATCCATGATCCCTGGTATGCGATAAATAGGCCCAACACCGTAGTATGAGAAACATCCCCATATCATGATGCTTGCGCAACCATGCTTCACTGTCTTCACAGTGTACTGCGGCTTGAATTCAGTGTTTGGGGGTCGTCTGACAAAACTGTCTCCGGCCACTAGACCCAAAAAGAACAATCTTACTTTCATCAGTCCACAAAATGTTGCGCCATTTCTCTTTAGGCCAGTCAATGTGCTCTTTTGGCAAATTGTAACCTCTTCAGCACAAGTCTTTTTTTCAACAGTGGGACTTTGCGGGGGCTTCTTGCAGATAGCTTGGCTTCACATAGGCGTCTTCTAATTGTAACAGTACTCACAGGTAACTTTACACCTTCTTTGATCTTCCTGGAGCTGATTGTTGGCTGAGTCCTTGCCATTTTGGCTATTCTTCTATCCATTTGAATGGTAGTTTTTCACGTTCTTCCACGTCTTTCAGGTTTTGGTTGCCATTTTAAAGCATTTGCGATCATTTTAGCTGAGCAGCCTATCATTTTCTGCACTCCTTTATATGTTTTCCCCTCTCCAATCAACTTTTTAATCAAGGTACGCTGTTCTTCTGAACAATGTCTGGAACGACCCATTTTCCTCAGAAATGCACTGTAACCAAGCATGTACAACATTTGCTGCCTTCCTTCCTTAAATAAGGGCAATAATTGCCACCTGTTTTTCAAAGAATGAATGACCTCACTAATAGAACTCCACACTGCTATTATATTGAACATGCCCATTTCAATTAGTGATTCAATTACACAGAATCAGCAGCATGCATGTCATGACTGTTGGGTCTGTTGGATTTCTATTACTCTACTACACCTGCTAGTAAATTATTTGCCATGTAGAAATATCATTTCTACCAAAAACAGTGATTGATCAGGTTAATGATGTCTGACTGCTATTATTTTGAACACAACTGTATATAGCGCCGTCAATTTACACAGCGCTTTACATATACATACACATACATATATATATATATATATTGTACATTCACATCAGTCCCTAACCCTCAAGGGGTGTACAATCTAAAGTCCCTAGCTCACATTTATACATACACATACTAGGGCCAATTTAGACAGGATCCAATTAACCTACCAGCATGCCTTTGGAGTGTGGGAGGAAACTGGAGTACCCGGAGGAAACCCACGCAGACAGAGGGAGAACACACAAACTCCAGGCAGGTGGTGCCGTGGTTGGGATTTGAACCAGCGACCCTGGTACTGCCAGGTGGAAGTGCTAACCATTTAGTGAATTATATGCATACAGTGCCGAACTCCCTTCAACTTATGTTAAAACAACAAAAATTGTGAAATGGTGACTGTAAATCATTAAATAAAAAAAAATTAGCTAAAAAGTGCTTTCTTCAGCTTGAATACATTTCATATTTTATCTTCATGTGATTAAATCCTCCACCCAAAAACAACAGATGTGCCCTCACCTGGAATTTTTGACCTTACAAAATGTTCGTTCAAATAACGCATGTGTCCCTTGAAGTGGACATGTATTAGCCGGTGTGTCCTGCCAATGGAATCTTCCTTCACCGATCACCACTCTCCTTAATTTCTCATCCTCCACTCAGCATACATGGTGAAAAAATATAAAACCTAACAGTGCTTTATCCTTTAAAAACTCTATTTTATTAAAACATAAAAAGTGACCACTCACATAATAAAGGTGCTAAATCACACCAGATATATTGTGTAGAAAGATCCAATAATGTGTGAATACAAGCAAGCAAAGATCGGTCCCACTCATGTGCAATCACACTGTGGTGTATCAAGAGCGTCATCACATCTGATGTTGTTTTTGGGTAGAGTATTTAATCACAGAAGATGAAATATGAAATGTATTCAAGCTGAAGAAACCACTTTTTAGAGACTTTTTTTTTTTTTTTTTTTGTTTAATGATTTGCAGTCACCATTTCACATTGACACGTTTACACAATTTTTGTTGTACTAACATAAGTTGCAGGAAGCGCGGCACTGTATGTATATAATTTGTATTCGTGATCATGTTATGAATATGTTGTAGTGCGAGTCGCTTGAGGATTGTAGTTCACAGTTTGTGATATACATTGCTCGTGAGAGATTGTTTATTATAGTTGTGCTACCCATTTAGCGACTGTGCTGCCCCATCATCAGCATTCTTGTCTGGAATTCTGCATTAATACTTTAAGGATCAGTTCACCTTTCATAACATGTTACACCCATATTCAGGGTGTAACATGTTATGAATACACCAGCCTTCGCTCCCCAGCTTTGACAGCTAGCAGGGGATCTTCTCCTCTTGCTAGCTGTCAAATTTAAAAAAAACATGGCCATGCTATGTCCGCCCAGCTGCATCACTCATTCACATCTCTGTAAATGACAAACTAAAAGTCCCGACACAGCCTTAGTGGTTGTCGGCTTGTAGTTCTCAATTAACCACCACAGCGCTGTGGAGCGCCTAGGCAGTTCATTGATTCTTCCTGTCAGTATATCTACTTGCTTGTACATCCCGTACGGGCAGGCAGATATACTGACAGATCTGCAGGAAACCTGCATGGCACCAGCGATCTGTTGATGGCTGGTGCAATGGTTTCCAGGCTCCTGCAACCAAAAATAGGAAATTCACATTTTTTAACCTGCCAAAAAATGTTCGTGTATTATTTTTGGTAAAATGGTGAACTCCTTTAAGTTAGGAGAAACCAGTAATTGTGTCTATAAAAGCAGCAAGGGCCAGCAACTAGATCAAACTCAATGGGGATCATTCTTTCCCATGAATTATTAATAAAATTTCTCAGACTATATAAAGTATGGGATTTGTGTTGGTAAGTTAACAACGGTGAAGTTACACATGTAGCAGACCATAAAGGAATACGTGAACTCAAATTTACTGCAGTTTTTTTTTATTAATAGCAGCCATTTTATTTCCTTGGTGTGTCACTAATTTAATGCCTTATCACCACAAAATGTTTCTGAAAATACTGGAACATTTTTTAACCGGTGAAAAATGTTCTCTACTGTTGACAAGCCATAATCAATTATTTAAATAAACACTAGGTCATGACCAAGATTGCTCCTAATTACCAGATGCAGTACCACCATCCCTACACCACCCTGTATGTTCTTCAGCAAGGTGACTTCAGGTGGCGAGATTGAGAAATCTAATCCTAGCCATACACTAGTTGAAAAATGGTTTGAATGCATTTCCAAAAAAAGAACACATGGCCGTAAGAGAACGCGATATTGCCATCATGTAATGATCGCTTTTCAAACATTGAACCGTTCAACGGACATTAATGAATCAGTTTTCCATTTGTTTTGTCACATATGCACAGTATGAACAGTTTGATCTTTAATGGGCGAGAAACACATTAACCTATCAATTTACCGTCCGTTTAGCAGGGTTTTTTCAAACATATCCTTTTATTTTACGGCTCAAAAACATCACTACCGATTTTCGATTTGTGCCCATTAACTGGCCAAAAAACAAACGAACTGTCCAAATGACAGATTTTCCAACGATTTTTTGTCTAGTGTATGGCCACCATAAGAATGAGACACCAAAAGTTGGTCCATTATGAGCAGTAAATGTATGGGCATAATACCTGGCAATACTTACATCTGCCCGTTCGTCCAGCAGGCATCATTTACAGGATGATATCTACTTTTTGCTGGATTATAATCTGCCTGTTTGTCTGGAACATCTTGCTTGCTGGCTCCAAAGAAACTAAAATTTAATAAAAAGTATGTGAAACAGAATGGTATAATCTTTAAATAATTAAATAAACCAGTCAGTAAAATACACATTTTTGTCAAAAGTCTAAAACTCAAAATGCCTCAGGTCTATTATAAAACCTAGTGCAAGTGAATACAGCCTATGGGCATCTACTGAAGGATTCAATGACCTCTGGTTACAAATGAGTTAAAGAATCTCTCCACTGAGCATGCTCAGACATTCAGTAAACACTTGTCTACTTTCCCTGCCTTAACCTAAAGTTCTTTCTCCTTTACAGCACTGCGCCATTAAAGTACAGGCTCACCACTACCACCTTTACAATTCATTGGATGTGCAGAAATAGTATTCCGGGACATATGGCCTATTTACAGCTACAAGATTACTAGTAGCCATTACTGTACAGAACAAGGGAGCAATAAAAAAAACTTAAGAAGATAAGTGGTAAAACCAATACTGGCACTGCACTCTAGCAATTACTAATTAAATGGAGTCTACTGTATATTAGCACATTTCTTGATCCTGCTCATGTACCCCCATTTCCTAGCTTGATAAATATGGAGGATATCTTACAAAGTTACCACAATACGAAGTTATATTTAAGGAAATATATAGATATCACATAGTCCGTTTCCAATCTGTAAAAGGAAATCCGTGTTTTAAAACTTGTGTATATAGATTTCTCTTTATTTTTTACAAACAATCTCAAGTTTTGTACCTGGAAATATTTTTTGTGGGCTTTGCAGGAGTATTAGGAGATGGCTTCTCTGAATCCTTTTCAGAATCTCCTTTTTCAGAAGGTTTTTCAGAACTTTACTCTCTTCCTTTAAGGGTTTTTCAGAAATGTCTTTGCTGTCTTTTTCAGTTTCTTTTTTGACCCTTTTTTTCAGAAACTTTACCCTTCTTTTCAAAGAACTTTTCTGACACTTTTTTGCCCTTTTTGGAGTTGACAGAGGATGGACTTGTATCTGAGGAAAAAGTGTAAGTTTAAAACGAGGCAACATTAAGAATGAGACTGTCATATTACCTGTAATGTATTCAAAGTACAGACTTTTCAATGTATTTTATAACAGTATTCTTAAACTGGTAATAAATGGGTCATCTTTTTTCACTCAGCTGAACAGCACCCCCAATCCCTTCCTTTCATCTTCACCCCTCTCTAGGACATTGTATTCTGACAGCAGGACTGGCTGTTGTCAGAATACACCACTCAGAGGCTGAAGCCACTGACCAAGAACAGTTTTCCAACATTCCCGATTAACTTCTGTTAAGTGCGGATGGCCACACATGAATCGAAACTTGGCCAGTCTCTGCTGAACCAGCTGAATTTTGATCCACCACAGGCAAGCTTTACAGGTTTTTTTTCTAGTATATCTTACAAAAATATTGTAACAGTAGCACATCTGTACTTTGGATACCCTCAAATTGTTCCAACAGCTAACAAATTCCAGCTCAGTAACAATCATTCTTTTGATAGCAGTAAATCCAGCATGCTTTAAAAACACAGGATCCTAACCTAGATGTAGCCATTGCACCATTTGCACTGCTAAAGATCTTACAAGCCGATTTCATTAAATGGTTGATATCAAATGTATACACTCACCTTCTACATCAAGGGTTAGTTTACCTTTACCAAAAAACTGCCTATGTAGATAAGGTGTATCTGTAGATAAAAAGAAACTGTGCAGCTCTGATCAACGTTGAATACCATTTACTACACTATACTTACTATAGGTGTAGGCAGGGCTTTTATCGGCTGGAAAGTGGTGGAACTCTGTTCCACCACCTCCAGCACTGGCCCTGTGCTTGTGGCTCACTATTGTCACTTGTACACACAGAAGCGTGGCTTTTGTGTGTACAAATGACAGGACTCTTCTCCTCAGAACTCTTGCTGCCCTCCCTTCCATCTCCCTCCAGCGCTGACTCTCAGTACCTCAAAAGCTGGAGAAGGAGCTCGGAGGTGGAGCATCCCTCACACCGGCTGCTGTTATAACATATGCAGACAGAAAGGTAGCTCACTGATTTGGCTCGGAGATACAACCATAATGGATGTAACCTCCAGTAGTTCATTCCCAGATATGTATAGAGGGGTAAGCCTGAGTGATGTTGCGGGATAACACGAAGGTGGCAAAGTGTTAAGGTGTCAGGTAGGCAAGCTGTTAATGTGGCAGGGAGGCAAAGTGCACACCTTTCCTGCACATTCCATCATACACACCGCACACCTTTCCTGTACATTCCATCATACACACCACACACCTTTCCTGCACATTCCATCATACACACCGCACACCTTTCCTGCACATTCCATCATACACACCGCACACCTTTCCTGCACATTCCATCATACACACCACACAACACCTTTCCTGCACATTCCATCATACACACCGCACACCTTTCCTGCACATTCCATCATACACACCGCACACCTTTCCTGCACATTCCATCATACACACCACACACCTTTCCTGCACATTCCATCATACACACCGCACACCTTTCCTGCACATTCCGTCATACACACCGCACTCCTTTCCTGCACATTCCATCACCCACACACCTTTCCTGCACATTCCGTCATACACACCGCACTCCTTTCCTGTACATTCCATCATACACACCGCACTCCTTTCCTGCACATTCCGTCATACACACCGCACTCCTTTCCTGCACATTCTGTCATACACACCACACTCCTTTCCTGCACATTCCATCATACACACCGCACTCCTTTCCTGTACATTCCGTCATACACACCGCACACCTTTCCTGCACATTCCGTCATACACACCGCACTCCTTTCCTGTACATTCCGTCATACACACCGCACTCCTTTCCTGCACATTCCATCATACACACCGCACTCCTTTCCTGCACATTACCGTCATACACACCGCAACCTTTCCTGCACATTCCGTCATACACACCGCACTCCTTTCCTGCACATTCCGTCATACACACCGCACTCCTTTCCTGCACATTCCGTCATACACACCGCACTCCTTTCCTGCACATTCCATCATACACACCGCAAACCTTTCCTATACATACAGTCATACACACTGCACACCTTTCCTGCACATTCCGTCATACACACCGCACTCCTTTCCTGCACATTCTGTCATACACACCGCACTCCTTTCCTGCACATTCCATCATACACACCGCAAACCTTTCCTATACATTACCGTCATACACACCGCACACCTTTCCTGCACATTCCGTCATACACACCGCACTCTTTTCCTGCACATTCCGTCATACACACCGCACACCTTTCCTGCACATTCCGTCATACACACCGCACTTCTTTCCTGCACATTCCATCATACACACCGCAAACCTTTCCTGCACATTACCGTCATACACACCGCACTCCTTTCCTGCACATTCCATCATACACACCGCAAACCTTTCCTGCACATTCCATCATACACACCACACACCTTTCCTGCACATTCCGTCATACACACCGCACTCCTTTCCTGCACATTCCGTTATACACACCGCACTCCTTTCCTGCACATTCAGTCATACACACCGCACACCTTTCCTGCACATTCAGTCATACACATCGCACACCTTTCCTGCACATTCAGTCATACACACCGCACTCCTTTCCTGCACACATTCCGTCATACACACCGCACACCTTTCCTGCACATTCCGTCATACACACCGCACTCCTTTCCTGCACATTCGTCATACACACTGCACACCTTTCCTACACATTCCGTCATACACACCGCACTCCTTTCCTGCACATTCGTCATAAACACTGCACACCTTTCCTACACATTCCGTCATACACACCGCACTCCTTTCCTGCACATTCCATCATACACACCACACACCTTTCCTGCACATTCCGTCATACACACCGCACTCCTTTCCTGCACATTCCGTTATACACACCGCACTCCTTTCCAGAACATTCAGTCATACACACCGCACACCTTTCCTGCACATTCAGTCATACACATCGCACACCTTTCCTGCACATTCAGTCATACACACCGCACTCCTTTCCTGCACATTCCGTCATACACACCGCACACCTTTCCTGCACATTCCGTCATACACACCGCACTCCTTTCCTGCACATTCGTCATAAACACTGCAACCTTTCCTACACATTCCGTCATATACACTGCACTCCTTTCCTGCACATACATCGCACAACATAAGAAAACGAAAGAAAATGTCCCGCAAAACTACTATTTCTGCTATGTTGGCACAACTATGCACTGTGTAAATAGGTGTCTCATGAACTCATGAACTCTGCACTCTGTACACTGCGCATTTCTGAACTCTGCACCCTGTATGTAGCACACTCTTGAACCCTCTACTCTGTATGCATTTCTCTCCTGAACTCTGCACATAATGCACTCCTGGTATTTAACAATACCCCTTTAAGACCCTTACACTGTTTGTGCAATTTGGCCACCCACCATCTGATGCAGTTTGTTCGCCCACTGTGACCGGGAGAGGGGGTTGCGTAACTGCACCTATTCTCTGAGAAAAAAAGCCATTGCTATAGGCCATTTATGTACCTCATGAAGCCTGACTGGAAAACTTTTAGGAAGTGGCTAAGAACATTGCTAAGAGAAACCTGTTATTGTTCACCATCACAGCAGCAAGCTCTCAAACGCTACTGCATCTGGAGTGAGAAAGCACATGTGAAGGCATTTACATCCGAGAACAAGCTTTCTCTTTCGGGATGGGGGGAGCAGACAGGTGCTGAACATGTTTACACCCAAAATATGGGTGTAATATGTTCACAAAGGTGAACTTAACCTTTAACTCCATTATTTGCATAATGTATTAGATCCATTGCTAACCATATAAGGGTTAATATATCACGGAGTTTGAAAATGTGTGTGCATCATTTGTGGTTTTTGTTTTTTTTTTGTTTTTTTTTAAAACCACCGAATTGTACTTGTAATGTAGTTCTTAATGCACTGCATTTAAAAAAAAATATGTTCCTGATTTTATTAAGTAATTTACTGCCACCCTTTAGGTTTTTGCTATAATCAACATTACAAACAATTTAATGTCTTAAGAGTGTAGTAGG